GTTCGAACCCGAGTTCCAGTGTTCGAACCTAGAGTTCAAACACCCTGGTTTGGTATGGTTTGAGAGATTTCTTTGATTTTCTTCGCTTTTAACTCGCAAAAGCGTTTTCGTGTGGCTTTCTCCTTCTTCTTTGTGGTGGTAATAGTGGTACCGTATGAATAGAATTAACAGTTTTTCGTATTGTTAGTGTTAGTGGTATTAATAGTATTAGTAGTATTGGTCGTATTAGTAGTTGGCAAACGCGGTATTGTCCGCTCCACACCGGGCATCCCTGCGGACCTGCTGCAGACCATCGAGATGCTTGTCCGGGCCACCGAAGAACACAACCTCTTCCGGCGTGCCAACACACCAGATAGCCCGCCGGGGGAGGATGATTAGGCACGACGGGGGCTGTTCATTTGTCCAGCAGTTGGTATCGAAGACTTTGGTTGGAGGCCTCGAAAAGCACTCTGCAGGGTGTCGGAACTTCGAGGAACGCAAACACCCAAGCCCAGAATTGTTTTATTTGTTTATTGTTGAAGGACGCCAAGCGACTGTGGGCAACCTCTTGAGGGTGCACATTCCAAGAAGTGATTTCCAACAAACATGCAGTTGATCATCTGCGTGTCCTACTGTACTGCAGAAGAGCGCCAAATGGTGATCGCTGCTACAACGGTCGCATCAATCGCAAGTCACCCGCCACTTCGACCTCATTCCACCATTCCACCCACCTCCAGATCTCATGCAAGCAATCTGCTAAGTCCTCTTGGGACTCTTGTTCCGGGATTCTTGCTTTCGAAGATTGCCTGCCGTCCGAAGGCCAGGGATCGATGGCAGGGGGTTCCTTGCTCTTTGCGGGGTTCAGTCTTGCTCAGCGTTTCGCCGATGACCAGCAGCGCCAAGCGAGTCGAGGATGTCGTCTCATTAGGATGTTTTTTGTGCTTAAGAGAAGCGTTGCTTGGCCGTGCAGGCGACTAGAAATGCGTCGAAGTTCATCAAGATACCCGAGAAAGGCCTAGCGGCTCGTGGCGGAGCGGTTCCGACTAGCGGCGATGAGAGCCGATCGTGCAGGGGGTGAAAGATTAAAAGACGATGCAGGGTGCTAATGGAGGGCCAAAGGCTTGGGCTTTAAAGAGTTTTTTGATAATTGGTGACCTTCTGGTTGTTCTTGTAACTCGAAGGTTGGGTTTAGGCCCTCGGAGCGTTTTTGCTAGAGCAACCGGGTCTGTCATTGAGGATTTGTCGGTTCACGCCCAGGATCCGAAGCCTTAGCAAGGCAAGGAACAAGAAGCTGTTATTTGAGGCTGCTTGGAGGTTCATGCGAAGTAAGGTAAATATACTTTAACCTCATATAAAGGGACTTATAACCATAGTTATAACTATGCATGAACCTCCATGTGCTCTTGGTGAAAAGCCCATGGACCTTGCGAGCTTCAGGCGGCTCAAGACTGTTTGCGAAGTTCAGAAGCCCCAGGGCTCAGAGTGCTAAAGTAGTCTTCAAATATTTTTCAAGACTTCGCCTACTTGGTCGCAGAGCCTCAAGAAGACTGCAAGAACATTCCTGTCAGATTCCTATGCCGTCAACACAGGATGTGCCATCATCCGGTTGTGATATTCTTGGGACTTCAAATGGTTTCGTATGTGGCTTGAGGCCACGCAGGGCTCGTCCACCAACTGCTACCCTCCAACATTTATCCTTGTCTCCGTGTTTCGTCACCTTGCCATGTTGTTGGCTCACTGTTACCAGTAGGAGTCGGTGTCAGGAGCACTGTGACATCATGGCTTCTCGAAGGGGAAAGCAACGAACTGATGGCCGCTTCGGCTCGCAGGGGCCCACGCCCATCCCTGACTGCCATTTGTGAATAATCACACCTTGATACCAGCATCTGGCAGCCACTTGAACACAATCCATCCTGGAAAGAAGCTGATATTCACTGTAGTCTTCAAGAGTAGCGACAGCGTCAGGGCTGCTTTCTTTAGCCTTGCGTCCGAGCCAGCAGAGCCAAGGCCAGCCAAGCTTGCAACCGCCACGTGCATCGGCCATCTTAACCCTGGCTCCCGAAATCTGCCAACAACTTCGGTCCTAGGTTTTTGAAATCCAGACCCGGCTTCCATGTCTTCGTCTGAGAGTAAGGTCCCGCACGAAAGGATCTCTAGAACTGCCCCCGCAGCTGCCAGCTCCAAACATCGGGCCTGCCGGTGCGCAGGCCTTGGCCAAAGCGCCGGGCTTTGGCCAAGCCGAAGGTGGGGTCCCCTGAGCTCGTGGTTGTGCGTGCAGGGCTTTGGTTGCGGAAAGTGTTCGAGTTCGTGGTCTGGGTCTCTTTCGTGCGGTTATCGATCGGATGCCACCTTCAGCTTGGATGCCTCGAGAGGCCGTGCCGACATGACAAGGCTAACCCCAGCATCATGCAGCATCCCAACCATTCCTGCGACGATCCCCGCCCGGAAACGAACAAAGGCTTCGTAGTCTTTGAACCGCTCACAGGCTCACCAAGCATCCATCTTGCTCATCTGCATGGACGAGGCTTGACCGCTGGCTTTGAGGTGCTTCGGGCTTGGTAGGCTGCTGCAGTGGTATCCGGTTGCAGATTGTGCGGTTCGGATGCGGGCTTTCATGAGCTTGCAGCAGTTCGTATCTGGGACTTTGGCCGGAAGTCACCACCACCGGCTCCATCTCCGAATCTCCACGCAAAGTCCTCCACCAACCCCTTTCAATTATTCCTTCCGGACACTCTCCCACCACCAACAAGCAAAAGAAACTCCCCACTCTCCACACAGTCTTCCTGGAGAATGCTTTCCCCAAACACAGCTTGCCAGAAAGGCCGAAGGCCAAAGCTCCGATGGCGAGTGAGGCCTTCCGGCCGTTTCGTTTGTTCATGCTTGTCCTCCTCTGTCGAGGTCGTTGGGCCGCAGATTTTCGGGCCCGTGCTTTGTGTAACGATGCTTAAAGAAAGACAGCCTCAAGCCAAGTAGCATTCCGAATTCCCACTCGCCAGGTTGGCCTTGAGCTGGAAAGGGTGTCTGTAGAAACCTTCTGCGACTTCATCGTTTGCCTTCGAGGCCGGTGCACCTTCGTGTGCATGTGTTGGACTAGTGTGGGGATCGGTGAACTGTGGTCAAGGCAACTCTATCACCGAGGAGGTACTCCAGGCCCGAGCAAAAGTGCGCCATTTCTGTTGTGACTGTTTCTGGTGCCTGGAGCACAGGGCGTTTTGCAGGAAGTTCCAATCGATAGCAGGACACTCAGGCTTCAGAGACCAAGACTTTCTCGACAGGCTGATGGAACTAGACATTACTGCTGTCGAAACTGGTGCCCAGGCGAGGGCCTGCTGAGCTGTCGTAAGCTCGTCCTCTGCCTCCACAGTCGGGACACTCGCGATCCCGGGCGTGCGGGCACGGGCCTACTCAGCCGGGCCTTCGCGCGCTGCTTCCCGGGTCGCCCCAGCGAGCCTGGAGAGGCCCCGGCTGGTATGATGACTTAAGGTATATTCGTTAGTGAGAGGATGGATGGGCAGTGAGTTGCCAGCATGACCTGCGTAGACTCTCTAAATTTGTCCGGCCGCATGTGATCACCAGTGATGGCTGCTTTCATTATATCCCCAATGGTCCAGGATTTGAGAGTGAGGTTCGACCCGTCCGGAAACCGTGCACCGCAAGCGAGCTATTAATAAGCAGCCTCCATGGCAGGTTGACCAGTGTGTAGCCGATCAGGCACTTCAGGCCGGGGCACGGAGATGGTGGAAGGACCATGTCTTCGGAAGAGTCAGAGCATGTGAGATGCAGGGAGTTTTTCTGCAAGTACCTTCGGAGCGCCAGTCACCCAGTCATTTCGTCCTCTCCTGGACCTTGCTGTTCCGAGAAGGCTTTGCATGCCTCCGACATTTCTTTGAAGAGTTTCGTGAAAAGACAGCAGCCCTCTCTGAAAAAAAGTCACCTCGAGCCTCGGCCCCCCCTGCCGAGGCGACGGCCAGGCTTCCAGGAGCTCGAGGGCTCCCTGCCGGATCGCGTCAGGAGAGCACAGTGCCGTGTCCCGGAGATCTGAACGCTCTGAACCTGCAGGACGACGGCGAGAAGCCGATGGAGACCAGCAGGCAAGCGAGATGTTCAGAGAAATCTGCTGAGTGCACTTCCGTGGCCCGCTAAGGAGAGGCTCTTGTTATCACTCAGATCCAGGCACCTCAAAATCAGCGGAGGCTCCAAACCCCTCAAGTGCACAAGAGGGCGTCCGGCTTGGCAGCACAGGCGAAGGAGTACGACCTAGCTGACAAGAGCAAGCTGGCAGACTTCCTCGAAGATGCGGACATCCAGCTGGTGCCACGGGCTCGAGGGCGGGCGAAGCAAGCACCAAACCCTGCTAAGTGTGATAGTATCATCCTGGCACCTGGTGGCGTCTGCAGCTATTTCCGGGTCGCGGTAGTGCAGATGGTGTATACGTTCCGCAAGTTGGACATAATTCCTCTGCCCTGTGACCTCGAACCGGTTGGCTGATCTTGCTCTTTTTCTGTTTTGCCGACCCCTCCGAGTGTTTGCTTCTCGCAATCGCTGTGTTTCCTGGTGTCGATTGCTGTAGCTTCCGCGTCATCAGTGGATTGCAACGTGACAGAGTTTTGATGAGCAGAGAAAAAGAAGCAGGCGAGAACTATCTCACGATCATGGTGAACATCTGTTTCTGTGGCCGCGGAGCTGATGCCATTGTCCTTGCCCGCCTGTCCCTGCCAGGGTGGTCCAGGCAAGCGGAGGATCTCCAAGGATGCTCTCCACGTCATCGTCAGGAACCTTCAAGGCCAGAACCCTGCAAGGTGAGTCCCCTTAGCTGCAGGTTGAGGTTAGACGGTTAGACACTTTTGCGAATGCAGCATGCGAAGCATGGATTCCAACAAAGTTGTGACGCCGCCTCTCCGCCGCCTCTCAATACACGCTATTGAACCTCATAGCCGCCGAGAACTGTCTCAGGATCCGGATTCAGGATGTCACATGTGGATCCTTCCCAGTGCACGTCAGGCGACCGTTTTACCGTGGACATGCTCCAGGCAGAGATCGTATGCCCAATTTGTTGCAGAATGTGCGCGAGTGACTGGGTCAGGGCATCTTGCACGAGGTTGTCCCGGATCGCCGGAAGCTCAGCCATGGGCATATTGTCAGAGTCCGAACCGATGTGCGCAGTGTGATTTCTGAAAGCTGGTCCGCCCATGGATGGTTCCTTGCAGAGGTGAGGGCCTGCTGAGCTGCAAGGACTTGGCACGCTGCCTGCGCCGCCCGGATCCAGCTCCGGAGCCTCAAAAGGTCGGGTGCGCGGGTGTTTTCGTGTGTGCTCTGCGACACTTGTCGGACCTAGGGCTACGACCTGGCTCAGAAGCAGGGGCTGGCGGATTTGCTCAGGGACGCTGACATCCGGCTTGTGCGCACCCCGAGCTGCGGGGTTGAACCAATGCTGGCATGTCAGAGTCTGTCATATAGTCTTAGCTTGACGGCCCGAGGTGCGAGCCGACTTCATTCTGAAGCTGCAGCATGATCGGCAGCGGCTCCCACGCCGCCAGGAAGCGGAGTCCGCCTACGTGGACGGCCGCACGGCACTCGTGACGCACGAGGAGGTGCGGTGTGTTGTTTTCAAGCAATCCCCAACTCCACCCTCCAAGAAACATTTGACTGCAACCTCCAACTACCGCACGACGTCAGAGGCAGCCCTAAGCACCCTTCCTTCGTCCTAGTGTTTGTTAACGGTTGGAGGTCCAAGCCTGGGCCGATGGCAATGTGCCTGAAGGCACCCAGATAGTCTCTGTGTCCCATTGCTGGGAGTCGAGGGAGCACTGTGACCCGTACGGATATCAGGTTGCCAAGCTAGCCAAGGCTCTTACTGGAAAGGAGTGGGTGTTCATAGACTACGTTTCTCTGTATCAGTTCCAGCGACTCCTCCGGAAGCAGAACGTCAGCTTCGGGCGTGCGATGCAGCACATGCATGTGCTGTACTGCCACGACAAGACAAGCACCGTCCGGATTGAGTCTCTGACGCCGGAAGCAGACATAGCAGAAGCCGAGCGAAAGCAAGACTGTGTGATGTTGTATGACCACCCCAGCGGCCTGGTTAAACCGGTGCCGGTCACGCAATTAGTCAAGAACCGCACGCCGTACAGGGAGCGAGGTTGGTGTGCTGCGGAGAGGGAGTGGTCTAGCACTCGAACAGCCACCAACCTTTCGCATGAGGTAGATGCGCCGGAAGGCGAGAAAGGGGGAATCGCCCCTATGTTGCCGGAGGCATTTCGAAAGGATGTCGCGGGCCGGCTTAAATTCACGCATGTAGATGATGTAGAGACCGTCTGCAGATTGCAAGCGGAAGTGTACAAAGAGAAGGCACAGGTGTGCAAGAGCTTACGGCTCGTAGATTTGGGTGCAGATGCACTCGGCATCGCCCTGTCGGCTCTGCAGCACTACCCGGTGCTGCAGCGCCTCGGCACGCAAAGCACCCCTAGGCTAGGCTTGACGGCTATCCAAGGCAAGGCTCCCACTCCCTCCCGGCCAGACCACCATCATTCAGGAGCCTTGAGATCGTCCACTGCGAGCTCAGCCCCAAGCTCCCGCTGTTGCTGAAGGCCTCCGGCCGAGGGTTGCTTGCTGCGATGTGTGGTTCGCCGGCTATATTTTCCGAATTCAGACGTGCTGCAGGCGGAAGCCAGTATGGCAGTGCCACCAGTTCTTGGCAGGTCGTGGAGGAGAAGAAGCTCCGGCAGCTCCATCTGCAGCACAACGAGCTCTTGGAGGAGGGCACCCGCCAGGTCATTGAGGCCCGCAGCCAGTTGCCAATGCGCACTGCTGCCGTGGTGGGTCATGGCAGCTCAATGTTGTTAGGTGTCTGCACACCGCAGCTTGAACAGCACGACGATGCACTCCAGGCCTTGGCTTTGCAGCCCAATGGGATGCTTGCGGCGCTCAGCCTCAGACACGACCGCATCGGGGCCGCTGGTGTCAAGGCTTTGGCTGAGGCCGCGGGATCAGTTTCAGTGGCCTGAAGAATTTGTAGACTGAAGCCGAAGCGCAATTCCTGCAACTCTGCACGTAGGCTCTGCGGACGAACAGCGCTTTGGTCGAGCTGAACCTGAGCCACGTCTGCTTGGAGAGCGATGGGGTCAGAGCTCTCGCAGAGGCCCTGGGACGAGTTGATCAAGGCCTTTCAAGGCTTCCGCCGAAAGGAAAAGCGGCGGTAGGAACACAAGACAGCAGTGGTCGCCGATCGGCGAGCACACTTCACAGAGCTTCGGCTCCACCATTGCCGCATCCTTCTGCATATTCCTCGCTCTGTCATTGTGTGCAGGCAATCATGCAGAACCAGACCCTGAAGCAGCTGAGTTTTGCGGGAACCAAAATCGCGGATGAAGGCGCTTTCGCCCTTCTTGAGGCTGGCGGCTGCTCTTGTACGTGCAGCAGTCTGAGCGCCACCCCAAGGCGTCTGAATCCTTTCTCCCCCCAACCTGCGGCTTGTGAGCAAGTGCGCTGCCCTAAGCCTCTAAACTCTAAACCTTACAGTTGATGCAATCCGCCTTCTCAAGCTGGCTGCAGAGAACAGTGTTTCAAGCTGCACGTCCCTCGTCGACTGAGAGACAGTTGCTTTACATTGCACGGTTGTTTCCCGAAAGTCGTACTATGTCGTACTGCCTGAGAGTTTAGAGACATCATGCGTCACCCCTTTGAGGACTGACAAGGCCAACTCGAAGTGTTATCGAGAAGTGTTATCGAGACAGGCCGCATGGAATCCCACCTCTCCAGCAGTGGACCTTCGAAGCAGGGTGACGCACCCCGAGGATCCCCGAAGGTGCAATGCAAAGCAGGCGGCACAGCCTGCACCAAGCCCACCAGACAGTGTGACACTCGGACCAATGTACACCAAGACGAGCACAGTGTCGCCAAGACCTGGTCACACAGCAGAGAGCGTTACTTGTAGCTAAGTGCCTGTACATGAAAAATGAATTGGAAGAAGCCAGAGGAGCAGCCGAAACTGTGCAGCCGGCAAACGTCCGGGCAACATGTCCCAACGGTTCAAGACGGGAGCTCTGCGCACCACGGCGGCACGCACGAGGTGATTTCCATTCCAGCGTGTGCCAAGCCTTGTTGTCGCCAGTTCTCCGTACAACGTCGTCTTATATAGTAGGCAGCAAGAGGAGCCCCGACCAATGCGGACTAATTAAAGGGCAAGCTGCACATCCCACATCGCGACGCCTTCACCAGTTGGGTCGTACGCCAACCAACTGCTTTATTGTTTGCACGTCTTCCTCATGAATAGGAAGCTACTATGGGTTTTGCTGCTTGAACTTCGCCTGTTTCATGTATTCAGAGCAACTCTCGCATCACTTCTTGAGCAACATGCGTGGTGGAAAGGGCCGTGCTGAGGTTTGGATCAGTTTTACTGCAGAATGCCACCACCCTCAAAGACTGCTGTTCAACGAGCACCACCGTGCAGGCCCTTCGGTTGAGTGGGGTCGAAGCGCAGCTCGATCTGAACGACAGCGATTTGGGAAATGCGGCCGCCGTGACATTGGCCAGGGCCTGGCGGGCCCGCGAGGCAGGGTGATGGGAGATCATAGGGTTTCTTTCGTTTTTTTGTCTCTCTCTCGCTCTCTCACATCTTCCGCATCTTCTGTGTCAGTCGCTGTGACTGCTTTTTCCTTCAGGTGAGGGGCACCCTCACACACCCAGTGGTGGAGTTCCTGTGCATGTTGCAGGCTCGCAGATTGATTGAAGCGTGGCACGTGCTTCATCGCTTCGGGCCCGAACCCGAATTAAGTCGAAGCCGGGGTGCTTTCGCCACGAGTCTCAGACAGGGCTCTGAAGACAAAGTATCTCGCGAACAGAGAGCCAATCCCGTGAGCGGGGCGCCTGTTCTCCATTGCACCAGCAGTCGATTTTTCCTGTCTATAACGGGTTGAGCTCTTTGGGCAGCGCCCGCGGCCTGGGCCGTGCGCAGGACCAAAACCTCAAAGCGCTGGCCGATGAGCAAAAGCTCGAGCTCGACCTCCGTCGCTGCGGCCGGTTGCTCAGCTCGGAGGAGCCGAAGTCAGGCCTCCTTGCCGACGCTTTCCAAGGCCAGAGGTTCCAGGAGCTGTTCGCACCGCTCTGCCGTGCCTTGCGGGAGCTCCGGCTGCGAGTGCTGCGCCTCGACTTTGGCGGCATCGGCATCGGCCCTGGGCCCGGTGGCTTTGCGGCTTTCGGCGCAACTATGCGTCCGCTTTGACAGGCGCTGGCGAGGCCCAGACCCTGGCCGCGGGCCTCGGCAAACAAAAGGAGCTTCAGGTGCTGGAGTTGGGCTTGTACAACAACTCCCTGGGCCCGGGGCCTCAGCTCCTTTTTTGTATGCGGCCGCCCTCCGACTTGGGCACCACCGCGGCTGCACACAGCTGTTTCTGCCAATCCTGCAAGCCGACCATCCATTTATCGATTTCTGCTCGATCTCAGTTCGTTTAAGTTTAACTAGCTGTGGATCTGTAGAGGCTTTGCCTTGCCATTGTAAACTGCATTCCAGCCGGTGATGTAGTCCCAAGACCAGCTCATCCAGCCTGCACCCTAACGGACTCGACTATCGTGATTTGCCGTGCCTCTCACCGCTTTTGCGGCTGAAGCTATCCATTTCTTTTCTTATCAGCGTGCCTGAACTGACTCGACCTCCACGCGGCGGCTTCCGTGAGAGTTGCTTGAAAACCCTAAACCCTAAACCCCTAAACCCCTATACCCCTAAACCCTAAACTCTAAACCCTAAACCCTAAGATGCCCATTCCCATCCAGCTGGACTCGAGTCACGGCCCGAGCTCCGAGGTCGCGAGGGCGCGGAAGCCGTGGCCTCCGCCCTCGCCTCACTCACGCAGCTGCAGAAGCTCGAGCTGCAATTGCACAAGAACGAGATCGGTCCGGGGCCCAGGAGGGCGCTCTGCTGGCAGCCCAAAGCGTCGAAGCCCGAGGGCCGCAATTGCGTGGGACGGCGGGTCATGCGCCCTTAGCGGAAGAAGCTTCAGCTTGGCCCGAGGCCCTGCAGGTGCTGCCGCCGTGGTCAGAAGCCTGCAGAAACTGCAGCAGCTCACAGGGCTCGAGGTTGATCTGTCTCGCAACGAGCTCGGCCCGGGTCTCGGGGACCTGCTCCGGAAGAGACTCGGGGATCGTGTCGTCCTCCGGTTGACAGGCGCTGTGCTCTTGCCTATAATTCAATCAAGGGTGAGATGTGCCTGCAGTGACCCCAGCTGTGCCACATAGTCATTGCCAGCCCAGTGGCCTGAAAGGTGACAAGGATCCACGTCAGGCGCTGTCCCCACAGCTTCCCAACTTCGCTCTCCCCGCTCTAGCCGAGCTCTTCCCGAAGTCTCGCCTTTGTTACAGCTTCTTGCTCGCCACAACAAGCCCAGGCGAGAAGGCGAAGGATAAGCTCCGGGCCACCTTCGACTCGCTGCCGGCGGTCGAGAAGGAGATCATCCTTTGCCCGAGGGCTGCAATTGCGCGGGACGGCGGATCATGTGTGGGGCGTGGCCAGATGCTTCAGCTTCGGGTCCTCCTGAAGCCTGAGGTGATGCAGGTGCCACAGCCGTGTCTGATAGCCGGCAGAACCTGCATCAGCTCAGAGAGCTCGCGGTTTGGCTGCTTGACAGCGAGCTCGGCCCGGGCCTCGCAAGCTTTATCGGGTCGTGTCGTCCATGGTTCTGCTCCGAATGTGATTTACGGCAGGGAGAGATGTTGGAAGTCTCACATTGAGCCCATCTTGCGGCTTGCAAGATGGCTCTGCGTAGAGGCGCTGTCTACACAGACAAGCAGCTTTGCTCTTCCCGCTCTAGACGAGCTCTTCCCGACGTCTCGCCTTTGTCGAAGCATCTTGAGCTCGCCACAGAAATGAAGCCCAGGCGAGAAGAAGAAGAAGAAGCTCGGGGCCGCCTTCCATGCGTTGCCTGTGGGCTGGAAGGAGATCCACTTTTTGTGATCCGAGGCTCGGGCCCGCCTAGTTTGGGGAAGTTGGGGGCTTGGACTCCACCGGTTGGGAGGCCTCGGCCTCGGCACGCTGGTGGAGGCCTTTCCCGGGGCGTGCCGCCCGACAAAGCAGTCCGAACATTCAGCCTTGTCTGGGTGTCAAAGGAGTTGTCACCGTAGCATTGCACGTGTTTGCTTCTGTGCTGGTCTTGGGATGTCTTGGGTCTTTGCTGATTTGAGACCTTTGAGGACTGCAGGGTCAGGATCTGATGCTACCGCAGAGCCGTATCGCTGTAATCGTGAGTGAGGCACTCCTTGTTTTGCACCAGCCCCAAGGTGCAGCGTCCGAAGCGGCAGAGGGGCTCTGCAGGTGCGTCCTTGCATTCTGATGTTCTTGTGCGGCCCAAGTGCTAAAAGCCCAATTAAGCCCACAAGGCTCAGAACGTCGATTATCTAAACCTCCATGCCCTCGCCCTGAACGTGCTTCAGAAGCTTAAGCCTCGGATGCAGAAGCCCCAGCGACATGAATGTGCAGACACCTCCCGAACTCCAAACTTGGTCCGTGGTGCATTTCCAAACGACTTGAATCAAGGACCCAAGGAGATGGGGATCGTTTCATTTTTGTTTAATACTCCATAGACGGACTCTGGAGGTACAGTGCAGTCAAGTCCTGAAATCTCGCATGGTTTTTGCCAAGTTCTTTGAGAACGAACGCTTGAGTGATTCGGGTGCTTGATCGGCGTGGAGGAGGCAGAGCATGATCCGGAGCCCCGGCCCTGTGCGGCCGGCTGGTAGGAAAGAGGGGAGTATTTCAATCATCTGTGTGCCTTTTTGAAAGTCTTGTGTTCTGATTTTTCATCTCCTGAGGACCTCGAGTTTTCTGAGTCTTGGGCCACGTGCCATCCGAACATTTCGCAAGATATCACTGCACCGACCGAAATGCTCCAGGAGCCAGAGCCGGCTGCGCCTGCCGCGCCATCGCGCGGACTGGCCCGGACAAGGTCCAAAAGAGGAGACCTTTCTCAGGCCGAAGAATCGCGGAAGCCGGCAAAGCCTGCAAGCACAGGGTCTTCGAAATGCAGGCGATGCGACCTGCAATAGGATTCTCTCATGTTTAGGAACATATCCAGGTCTGAAGGTTCCTGCTTTTGGGGCCTCTGCTTCTTAGGATCCTTCGGGCTCAAGGTATCATTGGCATCTCCGAGGCGTAAGCCCGTCCGAAGCCGAGGTTTCGGCTGCTGGCAGTTGTTTGAGATGGTCGTCTAGTCTACTCCTCCGCCGACCCGCCTCTTGAATCCTAAACCCTCTAACCCCCTCCGCCTGCCGCTTCGTGGCTCCAAGTGGGACCTGCCTAGCAAATCCTCGGCCTATGGCCTATGGGTTTAGGACAGCAGAGTAAAGTGTGACATCAAGCCGGGATGTCCAGCCAGCATGGGAATGCCAAGTGATCTTCTCATCCTAGCGAAGTAGCGAAGAAGCTGCCATAGAGGCAAAAACCCACCAAGGCGGATCGAGAGTTCTCAGGTCTCCTCTTTTTCCGACCGGGAGCGGTCCTGCTTCGAAAGATTGCAGAGGCAAAGCTCCTCCGCACTTTGGGAGCCATGAAGCTCCTGTATTTAGCATTCATGGAGGTGGCGGGTGGCCTGGTATTTCCAGACATCGCAGGCCGGGGGGGGCGGGGCAGAAGCAAAAGCCTTCGAGCAGAAGCCTCCCGCCTTCTCTGCCAGAGGCTGGAACAACGTCACGATGGTGGAGGAGCCTTTTCTTCCCACTGTGAAGGAACTGGACAGCATGGAGAGCCCGCAAACTTCTGCCAGGCCGGGGTCAGGAATTAAGTGCTTCGGCCTGCTTAGCGCTTAGGGTTCAAGTGCCGGCGGTTCGAGTTTACAGTTTTGGTTCAGGCTGCGCAATCTGCAAGTAAGACTTGCGAGCGCCCACCTGCAAAGCCGCAAGTCCGAAGCCTCTGCGAGGCCTTCCTCTCTTACAAGGGCACCCCCTCCCCCCAACCCCGAAGTGTAGAATTCTAGGGTCGGTTTCTACAAGGTGTACGGTATGATTGTATATGTATATGTTTGATATGTGCACATCTGTATAGTTTATTTATATTACGTATTTTTCATTCATTTAATTTTTAAAGGACGGGGGGGGATTGGGTTTCAGAGGCAGTTCTCCGAGGTTTTGGGCTCAACTTCAGGGCAGTCTTCACCCCACGCGCCGTCAAACATTCTGTTGGCAATGTCGTCTTCGACTCTTGAGAGTGGCCTGCTGGCATCTGCTGCTGAGGTTGAGGAGAAAGATGGCTTTCGCTGTCACTCCGGTCTCAAGAATGTGGGTGCGTTGTTTTTCGCTGTTGCTGGTCTGGCGCTTCTTGCTATTACCACTGCACGCCAGGGCGAGGGGCATGCCCAAACCGCAGCGCCCCTGATGTTACCTGAAGACGATGAGGTTTTGGATGACGATGGCTGCTCGGCCATCCTCCGGAACGGAGTCTACGACAAGCTGCAGCACGAGATGGACCAGGATACTACGTGGGACCTTCGCGAGGCTCTGAGGGAGTTCGATTCGGGCTACTCGTATCAGGACTACCTGAATGATTGGGCCAAAGCGCATTCGGATGGACGAACCGAATCAAATGAGGTTTCTCCCAGTTTGTCCTTCAAGGCAATCACCCTGGGTCTCGATTTCAAGTATGGGTATTCCCAATACAAGATGGACAGATCAGACTTCGAGCTTGCCAAGAGGAAACTCCTCAAGCAGAAACACCTCTTAGCTGCGAGTCCTGGCGACAGGGGATTCGACCGCGCTTGGGAGTCTCGGGTCGCAAGTTTTGTGGACAGCTCTGTGGTGCAGGCTTGGAGGGACTGCAAGCCCTTTTCCCAGCAAGGCATCCAGTCGAGGGTGAGCCGCGAAAGAACCGGGCAGCTGCTCCAGTTCCACTTTAGGTACGTCTTGGGGAAGGGAAAGTGACCAAGAATCGCCCGAAGTTGGATGACATCACCGTGGTGCCAGAAGGTGCCGCGACGTGCTCCGTGAACAATGGAACGAAGTTAGCTGCCAAGGAGGCCTTGCCAGTCCGGCTGGAGATCGGTCAAGCCGTGCTAGTCTCCTGCCGACGTACAGACAGCTTACTCTTCGCTGGGCCTGTGAGTGTGTATATCAATAGTGATAGCTTCTTGGGGTCTTTCCACGCAACCTTTGCAGAAAGGGTTACCCCTGTGCTCGCAGAAGACTTTCAGAGGGCCGTGGCCAGCCTGTCCCGGGGCCTGGATGCTTGGGCCGGATCTGTTGATCGAAAGATCGCGAGGGTCAAAGACACTTTGACGGCACGAGCCCACGAGGACGAGGCGAAGCTCGACCAAACCCGGGCGAAGTTGAACACGGGCGCATGCAGGTTCTGCAAGCGTTGTGGTTCACATTGGACCAAAGAAGAAGGAAACATCACTTTCCCTGTGAATCATGTTGCGGTGTATGATGAGGGGTGTACAGGCGGCAAAGTGGACCCAGTGCAGGTTTATCTGTGTTGCCGTTCAGACTTCTGATGTTTGCATCATCACAGACCGCTGTGAAAAAGGTCACGCACGTGGTGCAAGTCCATTCTGGCCCCAGGGCGGCCCACGTCTGCAACATGCTTACGACTTACGACAATCCCAACCCAGCGACCCGTGGGTCCTGACCCTAGACCGTCCTAAGATGTCCTGAGCCATTTTCCCATCGACACGCGCTACACTGGCGCCTTCCTTTACAGAATTGACTTCCTCTATTGGGAGGAGGCTTGTGATCATCGGGTGTTTCTGCCATGCTACATAGCGGTATATTTTTTTTGGGATGATTCAGTAGAATGTTTGCGAAGCGGGTTTCGGTTGTTCGGTTTTTGGGAGCACATTGCCCTTTTCCAACCATAAAGGTGGTCGTCTAAAGATCAATGTGCACTGTACCACGAGGCTTAATTATGTACTCGTAGACTGAATCGTGCCCTGGAAGATAAAGAACGCATGACAACCATAATTAGTAGCCGGCATGATGCCAGACCCCATGAGATTGCAATGGCATGCGGTTCCTATGGAAAACATCATGAGTGCTGCTTCCTCAAGACCCACTTTTCAAGTCCTAGCTGCTACCAAGGGCAATCCGACACTTTGGGAAATGGCAGGGAGCAGTCCCTTGAATGACGCAGAAAACCGTAAACATGCTTTACAAAGTACCGCTCTGAGTGTCCTCTCCTGAACTTCATGTGAATTGTTCCAGGAGGAGGCCTATTGGCCCATAGCTCGGTGCTTGTCATGTGGCTGAGCGAGGTGCCAGAGCACAGGGATCTCAATGGGGATTTCCTGAAACCTTTTGGTGAACAACAAGGGGCACCCGTGACGGGACACAAGCTTTTCAGGGCCTAGCATAGACGCCGCAACACTCGGTGGCATGGAGATTCAGCGATTGCGTGCTTGGGGGCATCTGCTTGTAATTCCCTCAGCTCTGAACCCTTGCAGACAACAGACCGCTAACATGCAGCAACACTTTCTCTGAAAACAGTTTCTTGAAGCTTGTATTTGTGCTTGCACACTGGGGTCGCCCCGGCAGTCCAGATCCAGCCGGCTGGCCTTCTCCCTAATGCTCTTAGTCGGGTACGGGCCCGCTCGACTTCTGCGGGCTTGAATTTGAAGGAGGTGTGCACGTACTGGCTCCGCAGACCTCCTGTGTCGTTGTTTTGGGATGTGCAAGCTGCAAACGTCATATCCAGTCTGGTGGTGAGCATTGATGGGCCAGACCAAAGGTGCATGCACTTATGTTGCCCACCAGGCCCTGGGGGTTCTGGTTTTCTGCTTGTCTTGGGTGTGAACGACCTCCGATACATGGTCGAGCCGTGCTTAGTAAGGCTCAGGTCGGCTCTTTGACATTTAACCTAGCCTTGCAACTTGAAGAACTGCTTTGAGCTTACAGCAATGCGGAGGCTTTCCCGGATGAGGGTTTTGATTTGGGTGGTCTGGAGCAAGATTTGGATGAACATTTAGGTAGTAGGAGTATGTCTAAGGGGTTTCCTCTAACAGTAACTCCTTGTATAGGGTTCTGGGGAAAGATTGAACACTTGTCTTGTTTGAAAAGACTAGACACCTATTTCTGAGGGATTGAGCACTTATTTTGGGGGCGACTCGACACTTATTTTGGGGCCACTCGACACTTATTTTGGGCGCCACTCGACGCTTATTTTGGGGCCACTCGACACTTATTTTGGTGCCACTTGACACTTCGAAATAAGTGTCGAGTGGCCCCCACAATAAGTGTCGAGTGGCCCCTAAATAAGTGTCGAGTGGGCCCATACGTGTCGAGTGGCAACATAAGTGTCGAGTCGCCCCCAAAATAAGTGTCGTCGAGTGGTGTCGAGTGGCCCCCACAATAAGTGTCGAGTGGCCCCTAAATAAGTGTCGAGTGGGCCCATACGTGTCGAGTGGCCCCAACATAAGTGTCGAGTCGCCCCCAAAATAAGTGTCGTCGAGTGGCCCCCAAAATAAGTGTCGAGTGGCACCAAAATAAGTGTCGAGGTGGCACCAAAATAAGTGTCCTCAAATAAGTGTCGAGTGGCACGAAAGTAAGTGTCGAGTGGCCCCCCAAAATACGTGTCGAGTCCCCAAGATAAGTGTCGAGTGGCCCCAAAATAAGTGTCGAATCGCCCCCAAAATAAGTGTCGTCGAGTGGCCCCCAAAATAAGTGTCGAGTGGCACCAAAATAAGTGTCGAGTGCCACCAAAATAAGTGTCGAGTGGCCCCCCAAATAAGTGTGGAGTGGCACGAAAACAAGTGTCGAGTGGCCCCCAAAATACGTGTCGAGTGGCCCCAAAATAAGTGTCGAGTGGCCTCCAAGATAAGTGTCGTGGCCCCAAACTAAGTGTCGCATCGCCCCCAAAATAAGTGTCGTCGAGTGGCCCCAAAATAAGTGTGGTCGAGTGCCCGACCTTTATTAGAGTTGAGGTTCTGTCGAATCTTCATGTCTTCACGAATGGCGATGCAAGCCACTGGCAGCCTGTGTTGATCCGTGTTGACTGCAGACGATTCGTAACCCTAAGCCCTAAACCCTGGAAACCCTCCCGTAGATGTCAGCTCCTCTTAAGGATCAGACCCCTGCAAGAACACTCGTAGGTTCCATAAAACTCAAAATACGGTATCCCGAGGACGACACCCTTTTTACTGGTGCTATTACCGGGATCACGGGACCTAGTACAGGTTACAAGCACGGCTTCACGTATTCTCTAGCGTCATCCAGGGCACTGCACTCTTTGTAGCCTGCTTGGCAAGTCCACGATACTCGAAGTAAGTAGTTGGCGCGGCATGAGGACAACGATGATGTAACGGTTGGGCCGCTACCTGGAACTCTAGACCCTAAACTCTCAAGACAAGGACACATAGAAGTTGTATACCATGACAGCGCAGCTGCGACAAATGCTGAGTGGAAGAGTACAATACAAGCGCCCACCAACAGCAACAGCAAGCACCATCATGAAAATTGCCCATCACAGCCGGCTACCAGCCCATCCAGCCCAGCCCACCCAGCCCACCCAGCCCACCCAGCCCACCCAGCCCACCCAGCCCACCCAGCCCACCCAGCCCACCCAGCCCACCCAGCTAGACCACAATCCAGATTAACTAGGAGCGGGTTTCAATTCTCGGCGCGCCGAGCCCCCCCCTTCCCCCCCCCTCCCCCCCGCCGGTGCCCGGATCTGTGCACACTTCTCCCACTGGCGGCTCCAAAATCGACCACTGTCACGAGGATCTCGTCCCAGACGCTTCAACGCCGTCAACTGTCACGAGGATCTCGTCTCAGAAACACCCCGTCCTTGTGACTGCGGACACTTTCCACCCGTGACTCCGATGTCAGGGTATTAAAAATGCAACTGTCACGAGGATCGCGTTCCTGACAGGCCCCGAACTACACCACACTGCAGCGCAAGCAGACCCAAACCCGAACCACACCACACCACAGGGGCGGAGGGCAGGCACCCCGAGCACCCAAACCCCGAACCACGACGCGAGGGCGGGGAGTGATGATGATGATGATGATGATGATGATGATGATGACGGTGATGGTGATGCTGATGATGGTGATGATGTTGATGATGACGGTACATATGCGAACTACGCCAGCACACCACAGCACCACGAACAAACCGAAACAGGAGCACACCACAGGGGGGAGGGGCACCCCAAGCAGACCGAAACCATGAAACACTACACCACAAGGCACGTCAGGAGATGTTGACGGATGATGAAGAAGAAGAAGAAGATGATGATGATGATGATGATTTTGATGATGATGATGATGCCGCTGATGTTGCTGCTGCTGTAGGGGCCGGGCCGCGGGCACAACCACACCACACCACAGGGGGGAGGGGAGAGAACCACAGAACCACACCACAGCACCACAGGAGGGGGGCGAGGGAGAACCACACCACACAAAGCAACCAAAAAACAGCGAGTTTTAAGGGTTACCAACCATTGGGGGGGGGAGGGGGGGAGGGCCGCACCGGGATCATATATACGATTGCTATTAACCCTGAACTGAACTGTCTATGAGATTTCCTTTCGTACAGTAGCCTATCATGCAAATCAAACCCTAAAGTCCTAAAGCCGCACACCTTCAGTCCTTCAACCCCTCAAAAGCATGGAAGCCCCAAAAGATGTGCTAAGACCTCGTCGATCTTTCTGGTCTATGCCTTGAGTTTAGGGTTTAGGGCTTAATGATTTCAATAGGGTTCGTTTCAAACGGTTGCTTTTAAAGGGTTCCATAAGGACTACTAGAAGGGGTATTATGGGGTTTAGTGTGATTTAGTATCCGGTGGGGGCGTTGCTGTTGAAGGTGCAGCTGTACCCATTTAGGGTTCAGCGACAGATTTACGTATGTAGCAACCCCTTCATAATTTACGAATGTCCCGAATTCCCAGCTGATGCCCAGACTTTGCCAAGTGACAAGCCCCAGAGTGCGAGGTGCTTTCGCGACCCCGAGGAGATAGCAGACATGGATTGGAATGCTTGCTTTCGAGAAAGACAGGGGGCACGTCGACTGGGGAATTTCGTCTTCAAAGTCGGAGTGGGCAGTTTAAGCTTACCTTACGACATTGTTCCTTAGACACGAAGAGTGGTGGTTTGGGAGTTGAGGCTCCTGTTCGAATTGGAGCCAGCACTCATCTCTGACTGCATTACTACTCATAATATGCCGCACACGCACGCACCTGTCGCATATCCCTATGCAATCGCGTGTGCAATCCTATTGGCATCCAAACACGACCGAATTCTGCTGGATCGCTGCTTTGCCTGCTTACCTAGCCCACTGATGCCCACTGCAGATATCATGGTACGTAAGATTGACTTGCGAGAGACCGAGCGCAGACGCAATGCATCCATGCTTGTTGTCGACATGGTGGACATGATGGCATTGTGGCACAAGGCAGTTGTGTTTCACACGAGCTGGCAACCACGACGAAGCCCACGTATCCAGGCGGATGTCGTTGCAGAACAGCTGTTGGATTTAGTCCCAGCGAGCAGTTAACAGCTGTTGGATTTAGTCCCAGCGAGCAGTGCAATCTCTGCAGCTTCTTTGCAATTTGTTTGCAACCAACCTTCTTCATCCGATGGTTGTGCCTCCGATGTTTGGTTAAATCCAGGCACGTGCTCACCCGGGTTTCTTGATGATCTTGGGCACAGGTTATGGAAACGGATCGATTGCGAATAATTTGAATCGCATTTTGACACTGAGATTTGGCACGCGTGACGCAACCCGAAGCCCGAAAGCCCAGACTCTGTGCCTTGGCCTGGCAAAGCCTTGAACCCCACAGCAAGCCCCAACCCCCAATCTACAACGCGAATCCAGAAGCTAATCGTTATTGTCACGATTTTCGGGATCCCCCGCTGAATGAGGTACGATGACCAGTGCACTGGAGCGGACCCTGCCGCGAGCAAAGGTGAGGGGAAGTCATCAGTCATGAGGCAACTATTAGCCAGCAGTCTGTTTTTTCTCCAATCTTTCAGATTCGACGTGTGCTCCGGTCTCTGGTGTTCTTCACTGCATAGGTATAGAATGCTGCACTCAGCATTCTTTCTGCCACTCCTGCGGCGACGACGATACCGATTTACCACTCAATCAACTATGACGGCCTCTGACACGGCAAACTGCACAATCCACCCAGCCGGGAATTCTCACACTGTAACAAGCACTGCTGCTGATGCTGCTATTCCTCCTCCTCCGACGACGACTACTACTACAACTGCTAGGAAACAACAACAACAACTACTACTACTACTACTACTACTACTACTACTACTAGTACTACTAGTACTACTAGTACTACTACTACTACTACTGCTACTACTACTACTACTACCGCTACCACTACCACTACCACTACCACTACCACTACCACTACCACTACCACTACCACTACCACTACCACTACCACTACCACTGCCACTACCACTACCACTACCACTACCACTACCACTACCACTACCACTACTACTACTGCTACCTACTACTACTACTACTATTATTATTACTACTACTACTACCACCACACAACAACTACTACTGCTACTACACTACTACTACTACCACTACTACTACTACTACTACTGCTGCTACTGCTACTGCTACGACTACAACTACAACACCAACGATGACTACTGCCACTGTTACTACCACTGCACTTATCACCGCCATACGATTATTGCTGCTACTACTGCTGCTGCTGCTACTACTACTACTGACTGACTACTGCTGCTGCTACTGCTAGTGCTTCTGCTGCTGCTTCTGCTACTACTGCGTCGATGTATCAGTACTGTGCTATTTTGAGTTCCGAACGCAGTGCCTCCAGCCGCACCCCCAGCAAATGCCTTTCAAGAGATCCCAGCATCGCAGTGTGTTCTGCAGCGGATGAAGCTGTCTGCAGGCATCCCATGTGTACGTACCTGGGTCTTCCTTCGAAGCCCTGGGCTCATCTAGTTGGCGAGCAGGATGCAATTTGACGGATGTTTGACTTGTCGCTTGTAGTTGCCGACGGTCTTGGCAATGTACAGTAGGTTTCGCCAGAAGCTAGTGTCATGGTGGAATTTGCAGTGGTTCCATGTGACCCAGCGTTTTTTTGCATACGCATGGTGGCAGCTCCCCCCCGAGTCGGCAGCTATAGCTCCGCTTGTTTTTCGGGGCTTCAAGCGCACAGCAATATCAGCTGCTGACTCCGACCGCTTCACAAGGATGTTGCACCAAACACTTAAAAAAGTCAGAGCCGAACCGAGGTCAAGGGAGCCGGCGAATGGTATGTGAATGGCAACTACACGCGCACCACGCAGCAGGCGACGGAACCTGCAGAGATTCCGGTCTCGTTGCCAGTTCGCGCTTGCGCCGTGGCACCCGGGTTGCCTCCTTTGTAGGACCCGAAACCTGTTACCTGCATGGTTGTGTGGCTGCGAAACATTTACCCCGGAAGAGAAGGCTGCAATGGGTGGATATCCAGAAAACATGCCTGCAATGGACAGGTGAACCATGCCGATGCTTTCCAGAAGCCCGGCACGCCCGGGCCTAGGTTCATTCGGCCCTTGTCGCGACCCGCAACACTCCAAGATGAGCCAGCTCTTTTAAGCTGTCTGTAGCAACTTGAAGTCAAGCTCCTGCAACCGCAGACAGGAGCTTGTAACATACAGATTGGGTTCGTTGTTAATCACATCCTTTTACATGATACCAATATGGGAGTTTCCGAAAATTAGGGGTACCTTATTTTGAGGTCCTTATAATACGGATCCTGCTATTTCGGGTACTATATTAGGGTCCCCTATTTTGGGAAACTCTCATATGGACACCAAACCCCTGTTCCAATTCGTAATGTCAGCTGCAGGGCTTTTTGTTTTGGGAACTTGACCTCCCAAGGACACTAGGCCCAAAACCCTCAACGGTCGCATGCCTGCAAACCCTAAGCCCTAAGTGATCCTTTAATTTGTACCATCTTTCTATAAATGTACCCCACAATACAAAAAAATGTACCTATAACATGCCTGTAGTATACCTATAGTTGTACCCGTGGATATCCGTGGTCTTGTCTGTGACCTCCCGAGGTCTCTCGTGCTCATGCGCAAGGGTGACGAGGGCTGGTCGCTGGTCGACTTGCGGGGAAGTGACCCGGGCTACACTCTAAACACTAGCCTCTACCCTAAAAGCCCCAAGCCCTAACTGCATCTAAAAGCCCCGGGTCTTAATCCCATCCAATACCCCTAAACCGAAGCCTGCGACAACACACGCTTGCAGAGGATTCGCCCAATTTCGGGACCCAAAGACCCGGTTACGAACTTTAAGCTTCCTCATTGCTGCCAGTTCCATGTGGGTTCGGCTCATGTCATACTTTATCAGGGTTTAGGGTTCGGAGTTCAGGGTTTAGAATTCAGGGTTCAGGGTTGAGGGTTTAGGTACTACCTTCAAGTGGTCCTTGCGAGCAGTGGAGCTTTACCACTGCATGAGGATCCCGGCAGGTGCAGAGTGTCTTGTGAGAGTCTTGTGCTGATGTGAGCAGCTGGGGATTCGGTTTTGGGTTTTTAAAGCTAAGGGCAATGGCCCTAAACCCTTACCCCTGGACCCTAAACCCGTAGTCGCAGTGAGATCGGACGGACCCTTTGCAGGGTTTTGTCGACTCTGAACGTTGATCTCCCCAGCCCACAAGGTAGAAGTTGCCCAGTGTTTAGGGTTTAGGGTGGACTGTTTTGCCAGGGCGCCGTCCTCAACATGGTTTGCGTGATAGGCATAGTGACATAGCAATAATATCACTCGTAGCAATGGAAATACAAATAGCAATAGCAATAGCAATAGCAATAGAGTAAGTATAAGAGTGAGAGTGTGAGCAGAAAAAGCAAAAATAAGAGTAAACATAAGATAAAAGCAGTACTAACTAATGGGAATAGTACTAGCAATGTTGTATGTACTTGTAATGGTTGCCGCAGCAGTCCAATAGCAAGGAAGAACAATGGCAATGTTTCTGGCAGTCGCAGGAAACTCACACTTTGAGTAGCAGACTAGCGATAGCAACAATAGCAGTCATGGTAACACTTGGCGTTTAGGATGGGATACTCCCCTAACAGAGCCGGCTAGCGCAACAGGACCGGAGCAATAATTTCGGGCGCCGCTTCCATTACTTCACTGGCCGGAGAACAATTGAATTATTGGGACCCCGCAGCAAATCACTGTGCTGCAAAACGGGGCTCCCCACAGATCATTTTGATCCACTGCTGCTGATAAACATTGACGGTGATAGCTTTAGTTTCGCTGAGGTCACACGTTAGGCCCAAAGGAGGATGCATCGCCTTGTTCGCTTTCATCTGTGTGCTTCCTTGGTGTCGAGCACCATTTCCAAATGCTGATTGGCCAGTTTCCTCCATGCATGCAAGTCACAAATCTCCAAAAACCGCGCATGAGGGACTTTAGCGCTTACTAGAGGCCTTAACAACGAGAATAGGGTTTTGGGGGTTCCTTATTGTACTTATAGTTTTGTATCCCCAAACCCTATTCCAATTATTGAGGCCCTACATTACTCAGAAGCACTATGGCATACTATAATTTACTACTAGTATAATATGCAAACCCTAAACCCCAAACCCTAAGCCCCAAGCCGACCGTAAGAATTGGCTCGAAAACTCGAGCTCAAGCTCCCGGCGAGGCCATTCACCGCCCGTGGTGGGATGGGTCTGTGCTGAGGGCGAGGCAGCGCATCGAGCCAGTGTACAACTATACGATAGAGGGTACTATAGTATGTTCTAGTATGCTATAGTATACTATAGTATACTATAGTACATGTCTTAGTATACTATAGACAATACACACTGTATTATATTAGGCCACCTTGTTCACCTCAGCTGCAAAGTGGCAGCAGCAGCACCATTAGCATTGCTAGTACACAACTGTGGCTGCTACGAGCAACTACAACCACAATCACAAAGCTCCGCACTATTGTTAAGTTTGATTACCACCCCTACTACTACCAGTACTACTACGACGACGACGACGACTACTACTACTACTACTAGTACTAGTACTAGTACTGGTACTAGTACTACTAGTACTACTACTACTACTACTACTACTACTACTACTACTTCTGCTCCTCCCCCTCCTCCTCCTCCTGCTACTACTACTGCTACTACTACTACTACTACTACTACTACTACTACTACTACTACTACTGTTACGGGTACTGTTACCGGCTGTGTTCGTATCCATATCGTAAGTCGCAGGGCCCGGCGCCGATGCTGTCACCTGGGAAGTCCCCCCTGCTGCCCTTTCTAAAGACGAAGAAGAGCTTTGAGGACCAGGTTCGGGGTTTAGGGGGGCTTTGCGGCTTCCGGGGTTTAGGGCTTAGGGCTTAGGGTTTGGGTTGAGAGGGCTTGGTATGCAGTTTTGTTTATCGGACTTTTCGCTGCAAGTTTAAGTGAGGTCTCGTGCAGAGTGCCGAAGCCTGGAGAACGTAACGCTGTCGCAGTCTGCCCCTGTCTTGTGCAGGAGACCGTCGACCTCCCCGTGGGTAACTCTTCATCATGGGTGCTTGGAGCTCGGATCCGTTTGGGAGGTCCTCCTCTCTGCATCTCCCTGCCGCTCTCTTGATCTTTCCCCCCCCTCTTGCGATGCCTGTAGGTCAAGCGCTTCCAAGCGTGCTGCACAAGCAATGTTCCGGCCCCAGCGCTCCGGGATGGCTTTTTTGGGAGCTGTTTCAGTTTGGGGCTTAAGAGGGTTCGGTGGTCTAGGGGTTTAAGTGAAATTGAAAGTTTTCGGGAGTTCGGAGCTTAAGTGTTCGGCTTAGGTCTTAGGTGTTAGGTAGGTAGGTAGTTTGCTTTCTGAAGGTTCAGGGCCTTGGGATTGGTTCGACTTGGTGGTTCGGGGGCAGCAAAAGGTGGGGCTAGAAGTAGGGTGACTATATTTATCACTCAAAAGGGTGGTTCTCAAAATAATGTCCCTTTTTGGGTCCCGATTATAGTACGGCACCTATTATTTAGGGTGCCCAAAAAGGGACCATAATCTTGACAACCACCAATATCAGGGGGACTTGTAACCCTACTTTAACTGCCCACGAACCTCCAAGCAGGGTTTAGGGTTTGGTTTATAAACCCTAAACGCTAAACCCCGTTAAAGTAGCCTATAAGGGATTTGAGTAGGGGGCCTTAATAATTAGAATAGGGTTTTTGGGCCCATTCTACTATAATTGCAATAAGGAACACCCAAAATAATGTTGGCAATTATTTAGGCCCCTATAGTATCTCAAGCATCTTGTGCGGCCTGCGAACATTGCTTGGATGAAAGTCTAAGCAGGGCCGAAGAAATTTGAATCCACTCCTTGCGGTGTAGGGTTTGGAGTTTTCCTTAAGCCAAAAATGCACCTAAACCCAACACCCCAAGACCCTCAAGCCCAAACCCCGAACCCCAACGATCCTAAACCCCTAAAGCCCGAGACCTCAAGCCCAAAGCCTTAAACCCCTAAACCCCTAAACTCCTGAACTCCTGAAACCCAGGGGCCGCCATCCAAAAAAAGCACAAAGTCGAGGCTAGACTCCCTGAACGAGGGTGGAGGCGCCAAGCGCCCAATGAGAGGCTGGGTTTACTTCTGAAAGTATGGGTCGAGGGTTTTGGGCCTTGTGCTCAGGGTTCAGGGGTTCAGGGGTTCAGGGTTCAGGGGTTCAGGGTTTAGGGGTTCAGGGTTTAGGGGTTAATTTAGGGTTCAGGGTTTAGGGTTTAGGGATGCTGTTGCTGCTGCGGCAAAAGCTTGAGTAAGCACGGTAGCGATGTCGATATGGATGCTAGTGAGGATGTGATGGCGATGACGACTGCCATGACGATGCCAGTGATGGCGGCGATGAAGAAATTAATGACCATTGTGGCGATCTTTGCAACAACGACTGTGGTGATGATGATGATGATGATGTTGTTGCGGCTGCTGTTGATGCTAATGTTGACGATGCGGTAGTGATGATTATGATTGAGGTGAGTGATGATGTTGATGATGACGGTGTTGCTGTCAATGTTGAGCCAAAAGAAAGAGGACGGTGATGATGATGACGATGGTGATGGTGGTGATGATGGAGAAGAGCAGTATGATGATGATGAGGATGACAATGATGTGATGATGATGATGATGATGGCAATTGCGACCATGACGAGGGCAGAGGTGGTGCTGGTCGTGGAAGTGATAGTGGTGGTGCCGCTGCTGCTGCTGCTGCTGCTACTGCTTCTGCTTCTGCTGCTCGTCTCGGTTGGCCGAAGGCCTTTGAATACTGGGCCCATCGCACCTAGTGGTACGAGAGCAGCATTTAGTTGTCGGAGGTTCGTGAAATCTATTTGGGCTTGCGTGCATGTCGGCACAAGACAGTTTCAAATCATTCCTCCGGAACTGAGAGGTGTGCGGAGCGGACATGCTTCTGAGAAATTTCGAGGGTATTCCTTAGTCCGAGGAGCTTCAAACCCCAAACCCAGCCCCTTTGTCGGGGTCCTTCCTGTTGGGTGAGAATATGACAACTGTGCATCTTCTTCATGTTACAGGAGTCTTCTTTGGGCGGGTGGGTTTTTGTCTCGGTGTAAAGCCACTTTGGTGGATTAGTGACTGGTGATGCATAGCCGAGCTGATCGTAACCTTAAACCCTAAATCCTAAACGCAGCCCCTGTGTCAGAGGTCCTTCCGGACGACCGCCCCTCGTCGCAAATCCCGCGGATGCCTCGGAGAATCGTGTCTCGCAACAAATCATAAAAGTAAGCATGACAGTAGCAATCATCGCAATACGAGTAATCATACCAAGAGTGATATTTTCATTGGTGCTACTGCTGCTGCTACGACGACGACGACGGCTACTACTACTGCGACAAAAAATGACAATGACTATGACAATAGCATTAGCAATAGTACTAGGACGAGCAATAGTAATAGTAGTAATAGTACTTGCAATCTGTCGTAGCAATAGTCATCGTCATAGTAGTAGTGATAGTAATGTGTTGAAGTACAGAAAGCCCAAGCCCCTTCTTCCGTTGCATGTTTTTGCAGTTGTCTGTAGTTTCATGCCTTGAGTAATGCACTACGATCTGTAGCCTTGGAGGCTCCAGTAGCAGGCCCCTGCGCAAAGGATGACACAACTTTCGTCATCGACTTCAGGTGCGAACGCACAAGTTGAGAAGTGTACCAAAGTCGCAGAAGGGCAACATGCACACATACACACTAGCACTTGTACAGCAGCAGTGCTAACGACAGTTGCTTCTTTCGCTGTAGTGTGAAAAGGCACAGGGTTGACTTCGTCCGCGCTGAGGGTTCATGGTTCTGAGCTCCTGTGGATTCCCATCGGGGATCGTCCGATAAACTTGGAACGATACTTTTCTTCAGGAAGAGACGAGCTATGGCCTCAGCAGGTGGCCCTGACAATCCCAATCTTCATGATCTACCTCATGACTTTCAGCAGGTTATGAGCCCAAGTTGCGCAGCCAGCGCCTCCGGTCAACGGCCAAAGGGTCTTGGTGACTCAGCAAGGCTATGGCACTATGGAGAGTGCAGTGCCTTCGGCTCGGGAAGTCTTGGTGACGCCGAGCTATGGTGCTGTTGAGGATGCGGTGCCCGAGACACAAGTGAGTACTTCAGAAGTTGTGCAGACACAGGAACCATTGGAGCAAACGGATGTGCTTCAACAAGCCTGGAGTGGAACGGAGACCTTTCAGTCTCCGATGACACCGGGAACAGACACTGTGCAACCTCCCTCTTCTGGGGTTCTCTTTTCTCCGTCTCAGCTGCAGAGGTTTGAGGAGCTTCGAGCACAGGCTCCGCTTCTGTATCCGAGTCCGCAACCAGCTGCTGGACTTCAGCCTCCGCCTGGACGAGCCCAGGTTGAAGCGCAGCAGCCGGTGACACCGCAATCTTCAGCTTCCTGTAGTGCTGAGGCCATTCAGGCCGAAGTTCGTAGACAGCTAGCTAGCATGAATCAGGCTCACGAGCTACGGATTCGAGAGCTTGAGGAGGAGAATCGTAGGTTAAGGCAGGGCTCTGAGGCTCCTATGGTTTCGAGGTTAGGAGGTGTCTTGAGTGGGTTCTTAGGCGGGTTGGGTTTGGCGCCTGCTCCGCAACGTCCCAGCACTCACGATCCCTTCAACCTTGCGCCTTGTCTGCAGGGCAACAACATGCCCAGTCCACCTCCTCCACCTCCCCCGGTACTTCAGCATACTACTGTGTCGGCATATGGGGCTGTGGAGCAGCAAGCACCGCAGCCTGCAACGCATCAGCAAATGCAAAGTGCCGTGTTCCTCCAGGGATGTCACACTGGCCCGTGTGCACCGATTGCACCGGCACCTCCCCAATCCCCTGGAGGAGCAATCCATGCCGCACTGCCAAAGGGTTTTGGTTCGTATGGTTATGTAGGGGTAGGGCCTAGTCCCATAAGCCCTCCACCTAGCCATCCTGCTGGCAACCCCCCTGCACAGGGAGTAGTGAATGCCAATACCCCCGCCTTACCGTATGGTTTAGGGGCTGTAGGTAATCACGATCCCAATCTAGGGGTTCCCTTAAGTGCACCACCCCAGCCCACGCAACCTCCGATGTTGCCGCAGAGTGCTTCGGCTGAACCTGCAGCTCTAGATCTTCTAGTTGCTGGTATGCGACAGCTTCAGGAAGCCACTATGAGATCCGTTGATAGCCCTAGCAGGGTTGAAACCGTGAAGCCAGGCTTAAGTGCTTTGCCAACCTTGGTGGAGCCAGGGGCTGAGGCGCCGGTAGACTTCCAGGACTGGGCCTACACCATAAATCCTGCAATGCAAGATCTCTCCGACAACAGCTCAGAGTGGTGGGAGAATATCCTAGTTGCTGCTGAGTGTTACTACCGTGAGTTTCTCAAGCTTGATCCTGTAGCGAGGCTTGCCCATAAACCCCAACCCAATGAGGTTCTGAAGCAGCCAAGATGGAGAAGGGTAGAGAAACGAGCAGAGTCCCTGTTGATGGCTGCTCTCCCGAAAACTGTCAAGGAAGAGTGTGTAGCCGGAAGGGTGTCGGGGGTACTTTCCATATGGTGTAGGATCATGGTTATCTATCAGCCGGGTTCGCTCCTTGAACGTGCCACGGCTCTGAAGAACTTGGAGGCACCAGGGGAAGCAAGTGATGCATCTGCTGCAGCAAAGCTTTTGAGGAAATGGAACCGGTGGTTGCAGAGAGTCCGAAGTGTCGGAGGTCAACCCCCCGACGCCACCATACTCATCAGAGCGTTAACCGGGGTGTGTAAGAAACCATTGGAGATGAATGCAGAAGCAGGGTTTAGAGTGCAATTAGCCCGATCAACACTGAAGGTGGATGTCAGTCCAACGGACACGAAAGTTGACGAGCTGTTCAGCTTGTTGCTAGCTGAGATGGAGAGTCTAGGACATCAGTCGAGCAAGTCAAAGCCGGTCTTAGGTCAGACTCAAGTCCCACCAGCGAAACCTCCTCAGCCTCCACCACCTGTTCCGCAGCAAGCGCAGCAAACACAGCAAACACCGCAATCGCAGCAAACGCCGCAGCCCAAAGCCACCGCGAAATCAAGGACGCCGTGTCGCAATTTCCTCACGGATGATGGCTGCTCACGTGGTGCGAAGTGTGGGTTTGCACATGACACATCGAATCTGTCGAAGGCCGAGCGTGCAAAACGCTGTTTCAACTGCGGAAGCACCGGGCATAGGATTGATGAGTGCAAAGCCCCGAAGCCTCCACATCCCAATCCCAAGGGCAAAGCGGAGGAACCCAAGAAGCCACCTAAGGTTGCAGCGGTAGAGCCTAAGACCCCCACGGTGAATCCAAAGGCGGCGTTGTCGCAACCACCAGCACCTCCGCCTGCAAGTGCGCAGCAGGGTGATTCGTCATCCTCGTCGGAATCTGTCAAGTTAAAGGCGATGATTGCTGAGGCACATCAAATGCTGAAGGATCTTCAAGGTTCGACTCAGGGGCAGTCAAGCTCGGAAGGTGATAGCAGGATGCCGCGAATGGCAGCGTTGTGGACGGATCTTCCGAAGCTGCCAGAGCTTCCAAAGCTCGCCTCTTGCTTTACGCAGTCTGCCTTATTGGATAGTGGCGCAACCCACCCGCTTCGGCAGCCGCGTAGCCTCGAAGAGAAGAAGTCCGCAGCTTCTGTAGATGTGGTACTTGCGGGGGATGCTCGAAGCACTGTCTTGCAGACCTCTGCAGGAACGTTGCTTGCTGAAGGCGAAAGGGCGCAAACAATAGTGCCCCTGGGGACACTCATCTCAGAGTTGGGATGTGATTTCAGATGGTCGCGAAAAGGTCTGAGATTATGGCACCCGGCACTGGGGTTCATCAAAACCTCCATTGTTGATGGATGTCCCCAACTGGCTGAAACCGAAGCCCTTAGACTGATCGCTGAGTTGGAACAAAGCCGATTGAACGACTACACTGCGCGCCTTAACGAATTGGAGGTGCGACTTCAGGCCACCGAGGACACACAGCCGTGGGTTGTTGCTTTGGAGCGCTTTGTCAAAGGCGGGGATAGAAGGGATCTCATGCTTGCGATTGAGAAAATGTCTTTCTTTGAAGCAATGGATGCAAAAGCCTTGGTTTCCATGATTGAAGAGATAGAGTTGGATAAGGGGTGGGAATACCTTAAGTCCTTCAACTTGCCTCGCGCAAAGCGTAAGCGGTTGCTCCACTCAGACTGTTGGTTTTTGCAGTGGGACGACGCGAGCCGTGGCAAGGCTTATGACCCTCTAGCTCATCTTGCGGAAGTTGGTGAAGTTCTTCGCTTCGACCAGCATGCCGATGCAAGTTTCAGCTTGGATCAACGCAAGGGTGCATTCAGGTGCTTGTTGTGGGCAGCGGCCAAGGGCAAGCTAGGAGGAACCATGGGCTCCTTCTCAAAGCGGTTATGGGCCTCAGCACGTGGTGGCGATAGTCCCAAGCGAATGGGCCTAGTGCTCCAGCCAATGCTTCTGTGGACCATCAATTCGTTATCAAGGTCGAGCCCGACCCCTTGTGCCTTCGGTGTTGAGACAAAGACATTTCTGCAGGAATCCACCGTACCTGACCCACCTGCTAGGGCCTGGGAGTGTTTCTCAAACAGCCAAGATTTTCGAGTCACATGAGCTTCAGGAGCCGATGGCAATCGTGACCACGCTCCCTTTGTTCCACTTGCACCACCTCAAGCCCTCACCACGCACACTAGGTGATCATCCAGACGCTCTGTCGAACAATCGTGGTTCAGGAGTGGGTAATTGTTGGTATTTAGGCCTAAGGTGGGAGATTCTTGAAGGTTTTCGCAAGATCTATGGCCGTACCCAAGCATCCAGGAGTGCACTTTATCACGAGGTGTTGCAGCAGTCTGATACGCTGATTCGTCAAGGATTACAAGCGGGCTCCGAGTATGCCAGTTCGGTGAGTTCGGAAAGCACTGTTGAGAATTGTCAGCAGCAGTCATGTGTCACTTTTGGTGAAGGGCACAGTGGCAGTGCGTTGGACACGCGCTGTTATGCCTCTTGTTCGAAGAGATCCACAAGGTTTCCTTTAAGAAGGGTTCGGGTTACGGTCGGTGTCAACCAAGGGTTCAGTGACACGGGGTTTGTGGCTCCTGACTCTTCATGCGCAATGCAGTTGCCAGTAACTCGGGAGTGTTGGCAAACAGCCACCCCCGAAACTCGGGAGTGTTGGCACGCAGCCACCCCCGATACTCGGGAGTGTTGGCACGCAGCCACCCCCGATG